TCTTGTGTGCGATATGACTCGCCTCCTTGGATCTCACAATCGCCTTAACATCAACTCTCTTCACTGGAGACGAGTGTCCTTACCTTCTGTTGGCTCAATAGAGCTTCAATTTCCACTAATCTCGTCCTAACCTTGGCTCAGGCTGAGTCTAAATATTTTTACTCATTTTTGTCAACGCATCTAAGAAATTTGTATTATAATTTTGTCGATTCTGTTCCGAATCTTCTTAAAAAAGGCGAGGCATAGTTTCAGTGTTATTCATTCCTCGTGTTTTTAAGACCAAGGGAAGTTTTGTGGTAAGCCAGTGGAGTTTTTCAAGGTGTGCTCTGTGATTATATTTAAGGGTGGAATCCACACACACACACACACACACACACACACACACACACACACACACACACACACACACACACACACACACACACACACACACACACACACACACGCACGCACTGGCTTGTGTTGTGTTTTAGTGTGTTCTAACGTAAGTAGCTGGCAACCGTCTGAGTGACTCCTTGTCACCCAGACGGCACCTAAAAGTGCCATCTTGTCACTCCTTGTCACCCAGACGGCACCTAAAAGTGCCATCTTGTCACTCCTTGTCACCCAGACGGCACCTAAAAGTGCCATCTTGTCACTCCTTGTCACCCAGACGGCACCTAAAAGTGCCATCTTGTCACTCCTTGTCACCCAGACGGCACCTAAAAGTGCCATCTTGTCATCCTTGTCACCCAGACGGCACCTAAAGTGCCATCTTGTCACTCCTTGTCACCCAGACGGCACCTAAAGCCATCTTGTCACTCCTTGTCACCCAGACGGCACCTAAAAGTGCCATCTTGTCACTCCTTGTCACCCCGACGGCCACCTAAAAGTGCCATCTTGTCACTCCTTGTCACCCAGACGGCACCTAAAAGTGCCATCTTGTCACTACTTGTCACCCAGACGGCACCTAAAAGTGCCATCTTGTCACTCCTTGTCACCCAGACGGCACCTAAAAGTGCCATCTTGTCACTCCTTGTCACCCAGACGGCACCTCCTAAAAGTGCCATCTTGTCACTCCTTGTCACCCAGACGGCACCTAAAAAGTGCCATCTTGTCAATCCTTGTCACCCAGACGGCACCTAAGTGCCATCTTGTCACTCCTTGTCACCCAGACGGCACCTAAAAGTGCCCCATCTTGTCACTCCTTGTCACCCAGACGGCACCTAAAGCCATCTTGTCACTCCTTGTCACCGATGGCACCTAAAAGTGCCATCTTGTCACTCCTTGTCACCCAGACGGCACCTAAAAGTGCCATCTTGTCACTCCTTGTCACCCAGACGGCACCTAAAAGTGCCATCTTGTCACTCCTTGTCACCCAGACGGCACCTAAAAGTGCCATCTTGTCACTCCTTGTCACCCAGACGGCACCTAAAAGTGCCATCTTGTCACTCCTTGTCACCCAGAAGGCACCTAAAAGTGCCATCTTGTCACTCCTTGTCACCCAGAAGGCACCTAAGAGTCCATATATACGTTCACCAGGCTGGCGTTTGCGGCTGAGATCATCTACCGCCGAAATCTACCCTCGTTGTCACCACAGTCACTTACATCTACCTCTGGCGGCTACCACAACTACCACCATCATCCCCGCTACCACCACCCCCACCACCACCTTCAGGAGGTCCGTCTGCGCCAGGGTCCGTGAGCCAGTCTGCCTCCTCCGACCGGAGACTTTTAGGCGACCCAAAAATGCCCCGAGACGCCATTTACGTGGACCGAAACTTGTAAAAATTAATACAATATTTACATACGTATTTCTTTAACAACACACAGCATGGCTAAGAACAAGAAAATGAGTCATAAATGGTGAACAGCCTATTAAAATTCAAATTTAATAGGACACTTCCCATAGGTCTTGACCACTAATTACAGACAGTGTATATTTTATTTGCATCTTAAGACCAGCAGGAACCGCCCAGTGTGCTACGAGATCCTTGATGTACTCGTCCTGAACCCTCGATCCAGGGACAGTTGGCACGGACCTCGACTACAAATTTTCCCTCACCGCGTTTGTATGGCTACGCAACGCGACAAAATAAACGTATTTGTGCATTGTTACCAAATGTTACTTGGTCGACGTCTATCTTATGCCGATGGTGGTAATCTTGGGGGGGGGGGGGGAAGGAAGGTGGTTTCCAAGGATCGAGATACAGGGAGTTTTGAAGAGAAGCCCACAGCCAGTCACCATCTTTAGTTAGGAGTCGTTCGAAACCCTTGGCGGATGTTCGTCAATTCTTGGCAGAGCTACATCTTGTGTGTGTGTGTGTGTGTGTGTGTGTGTGTGTGTGTGTGTGTGTGTGTGTGTGTGTGTGTGTGTGTGTGTGTGTGTGTGTGTGTGTGTGTGTACTCACCTAATTGTACTCACCTAATTGTGCTTGCGGGGGTTGAGCTCTGGCTCTTTGGTCCCGCCTCTCAACCGTCAATCAACTGGTGTACAGATTCCTGAGCCTATTGGGCTCTA